TTTTTCCTGCCCCCAAAGCCAAACATCAGTTTTTCGTACTGATGGTCAGCGCCCAACGCGCTGAACCGGCAAATGCCAAATCCGTGTGAAACATTCTCGCTTGAGCAAAGAATGAACAAGGCTGCACGTGCGTGTAGCGCTGGCAGGACTGAGTGGTAGTGCTGAAGGTTGGTTTGACCTTGGAGTGGACTGCATTGGAGTGACTGGCAGTCAAAAAACCAAAATGTTGACAACATTTTAAATAAAAAACGTTAAAAAAAAAGTTTAGTCTTTTCCAGTGAGGAAGAATAAAACCCTCCCTTGCAGAGTTACTGTGTGATCTGACATTGGCTGTGTCCTCCAGCAAGGGACAGGCAGCTGGGAGCTTTCTGGGAGTCTTCCTCTTTCAACCTGGATCTGTCACAAAGCAACACCCTAAGGCTCGGGGCACTGGGCTGGGACTCGGCAGATCCTCACACAGGCTCCCCTTATCCCCCTCAGCCTCAGCTTTGAAAAAGAAAGGAGCACCCAAACTGCCGTAGGGACTGGGGACCTAAAAGCCTCGCACATCTCAAGGGGTGTTATGACACCTGAACCCAGGAAAGACTCAGCTCCTTTGACGTCGGGGGTGTTTAGATCAGAGGCTGGAAAAGCAGAGCTGGTGCTAATAAAATAATTAATCTCCAAGTTCCTACCAGAAATCCTTTGGATTACATTAACTGCATGTGATCTACACAATGATTTCTGGAGTCAAGGTGATATCATGGGCGTTTTCCTCTTTGTTTCCTAATTACAGGTCCATCTAGCTTTCCATAAATATTCCATAAAAAATATTCATCTCCCCCCTTCCCCCTGCGCCCCCGTGCTGCTGTTCTCTAGCCAAGAACATTGCAAACTTCCCCAGATTAGCTCATCTCAGCAGGAGTTACGGAGATTCCTATGGCTGTACAAATAAAGCTTCAAACTTGCATTTCAGATCAGGAAGAGCAGAGGCCCGCCCACTGTTCTGATTCTCCCCATTTGGGTTTATTTGATTCTTCTATTTAAACGAAGGAACCCCTACTGTTAATATTGCCGATGCGC